TACATAATGGGTATTATAAATATAAGAAGATAAGTCTTCAGTTATATATAAGGCGAACTTTTCTCATAATATGAACACTAATAGGTTAAGTAAATTAACATGTGAGATGTATAGAACAAAATTGAAATTTGGAATGGTGTGGCTATCATTTTTATCATCTCTATCATCACATTCATCGTCAATAAGGACCATACCTTAGGAGTTAGGACCATAGACTCTTTTGCATGGATTATAAGAAGACACGGTGACGAAAAGGATGAGCCAGATATTATATATATGTTTCTTTAAGGAAACCGACCTTCATTTTTTTCAAAAAATGAATTTTTTTTTTTAAATGAGAATTAGTTGTGGAAGTCATTCCACATCGAACTTCAACGATCTGAATTGTCTATTTTATTAATCTCAATTCATAGATCATTAATGGAAAAATTCAATTCAATCCGAAACCATTTGACCATTTAATTGTCACAATGAAATTTCAAGGTTTCTTATAACATAGTATTTTTCAATTTCCTTGAACTCAATTAGATGTCTCAAATATTTTCAATTTGGCTAATATTTTACAGGGATGATTATGAGGTGTAAATAAAAAAATAAACGATTAGGATGATTGAAGATTTTTCAGAAAAAAACGGGGATCCTTTCTTTAAAGAATACACACACACACACACTCAGCTCCTTATATAATTTTGGTTAAAAATCAACAATCAATCACAAATATAAATACATTGCAGAAATAAATTCGAGATACATATGTATATATGCTAATCATTAAATAAATTACAACTATGTATATTGATACAATTCGAATTAAACAAAACTAATATCAAACAAACAAAATAACCATCGAGGCTTGCGTACCGTAATATTCTTGAAAAAGAATTTCGCTTCTACTTTGTGCTTGTAATTCGGTGAGTTTCTACTTCATCAGGATTCAATAATCAAAATAATATTTGAGCACTAGAAAATTTGGTTTCTAGCGAATTTCTATGTGGTTCTTTCAGCAGTATGAAAATGATTTTTTTGTGTTTTGAATGAGATGCATTTGCATGTATTTATAATTTGTATATTTGTCGCATTAAAAGGGATGTGTGGCTTCATCGTTTTCTCAAACCTTCTCAGACTTCATCCGAAAGGATGAGTTTGTTGAAATCAAAACGTTAAAAAAACAAAACATGAAATTAAAATATTAATTATTTGATTTAATATTAATGCCCGAGCCCCAAGGCCCATCTTTTCATGGTTAAATATAGTTTAATTTTAGAGTAAAGTACAAAAAACTACCTTAACTATTGCGGTCATGCCAGTTTCATACCTCATCTTTTACAATTGACAATGTCATACCGCATCTTACGAATTTGTGACAATGTCATACCTCTGTCAATTTTTCTGTTAGTTTTTCTGTTAAATGCTGACGTGGCAATAGACGGTGACCACTTTCTATTAAAATATTATTAAAATATTATTAAAAACTAAAAAAAATATTTAATATTTTTTAAATATTAAAATAATAAATAAAAGTAAAATTAAAAAAAAAAAGGTAAAGTACAAAATACTACCTCAACTATTGGAGTCACGACAGTTTCATACATCATCTTTTAAAATTGACAATGTCGTACTGCATCTTACGAATTTGTGATAATGTCATACCTCCGTCAATTTTTCTGTTAAGTGCTGACGTGGCTTGATTCATGACCTACTTTCTATTAAAAAAGTATTAAAAACTAAAAAATAATTATTTAATATTTTTTAAATATTAAAATAATAATAAAAGGCCAAAAAAAAAAAAAAACAATCCAATTTGTCTTCCCCCCACACTCGCACTCAATTTCCCCACACCCACACCCACACTCTTCTCCCTCCTGCAACCCAGAAAAAAAAAAAAAAAAAAAAAAAAAAAAAAAACCCCAAATCTCGTCGGTGGGAAGATGGGTGCACAAAGAAGGTGGAGGATGGGTGCGGAAGAGGATGTGGAGAATGGATGAAAGTGGTGGATTTGGGGTTTGATGGGTTTTCAAAAAAATAATTTTTTTTTCCTTCTTCTTTTTCTTCCTTCTTCTTCCGCAAGGGAGTTGATGGTTTAAAAAAAAAAAAAAAATTCCTTCCTCCTTTTTTTCCTCTTCTTCTTCTTCTTCTTCTTCCTCCTTCTCCTTCTCCTTCTCCTTCTTCTTCTTCCGCGCGGGGTAGGGGGGTGGTGTTGATGGGTTTTCATATTTGTTTTTTTATTTTTTCTTCCTCTTCTCCTTCTTCCTCCTCCTTTTCTTCCTCTTCTTCTTTTTCCTTCTCCTTCTCCCTTCTTCTTCCGCGCTGATAGGGGGAATTTTTTTTTTTTTTCCTTCCTCCTTTTTTGTCCTCTTCTTCTTCTTCTTCTTCCTCCTCCTCCTTCTCCTCCTCCTCCTTCCCCTTCTTGTTCTTCTGCAGGGGGTTGTTGGGTTTTCAAAATTTTTTATTTTTTTTATTTTTTTGGGTTTGCAGGTGGGGGGAAGAAAATGAAGATGGGGAGAAGAGAGAGGAAGGGGGAGGGGGAGGGAAGGGACAAACTAATGGTTTTTTTTTCTCTGCTTTTATTATTATTTTAATATTTAAAAGATATTAAATAATTGTTTTTTAGTTTTTAATAGAAAGTATGTCCCGAATCAAGCCACGTCAGAACTTAACAGAAAAACTAACAGAAAAATTGACAGAGGTATGACATTGTCACAAATTTGTAAGATGCAGTATGACATTGTCAATTTTAAAAGATGAGGTATGAAACTGTCGTGACCCTAATAGTTGAGGTAGTTTTTTGTACTTTATCCTTTTTTTTTAATTTTACTTTTATTTATTATTTTAATATTTAAAAAATATTAAATATTTTTTTTTAGTTTTTAATAATATTTTATTAATTTTTTAATAGAAAGTGGTCCCCGTCTATTGCCACATCAGCATTTAACAGAAAAATTGACGGAGGTATGACATTGTCACAAATTCGTAAGACGTGGTATGACATTGTCAATTTTAAAAGATGAGGTATGAAACTGTCATGACCGCAATAGTTGAGGTAGGTTTTTGTACTTTACCCTTAATTTTATATATATAGTTAACACATCCTAAAACCCAAACTCTAAGTTCAAATCCAATTTTGCTCTCCATAATTTATCTTTCCAATTACTTTGTAAGAAGAACTAGGTGTTATAAAGCTTGAGAAATTTTTGGTTGTAAGCAATGTAGGAAAATGAGATAGAATGAGTTTTTTCACCTACAAAATACGAGATACGGCCTATGTTATAATACAACTGAAAAAAAATAAAATAAATTCCATTTCACCTAAGAAAATAAGAAAAAGCTTCAATGGGTACATGCACTTCTTGATCTTTACCCACTCGTTGATCTTTATCTATGTATAAAACAGAAGAAATATTTATTAAAATACGAGGTTTAATCAACAAAGAGAAAAGTTATTTTTTATATATATTTTTTGTCACATATTTATATAGACGGGACACTGAACCACTTCTAACCATACCGATATTTTTCTAACTTAACCAATTATTGATAGGTGTTGACTTTTATTACAAAGGGTATTGGTGTTTATTAAAAATGAAACCATACACTCATTTATTATATTTTATTTTCTTAATTTTCCGGGTAACAATTCATTCAATGTCATTGGTACTATTTTCATACTAAAAAGACTACTATAAAAAAAAAAAATTGCGTATTAAATTTATTTTTATAGCTGAAAAATTCATCAATTTCTTAAATCAACACTTTGAATACAAAAATATTATTCTTACCATATTTTTATACTACATTTGTAGCATATTTCTAATAAAGATGAAACTCACATATGTTGATGGCTCCTACTCTATTAGAAATATGATACAAACGTAGTATGAAAAAATCCAATAGGATCCTCTCCGGATCCTTTTGGCGAGGATCTTGGGGATCTGTAAATCATGTTCATTCATCTTACATCATGCGATCAATTTTTATTAGGTACCGTTTGTGTTTAATTTTAAATAAAATATTTAAAGTAATTTTTAATCACACAATATACGATAAACGAATACGATTTACAGATTCTAAAAATCTTCCAGATCCTGAAAAATTATGGTTAATACAGCGTTACTCAGAGTTACGTACTCAGTCAGCTAGCCTGCAGCCAGCTTGTGCGCTTGCGTGTAGGAGTGGAAATTATAGATGTATGATAGCCATTACGCGACACTATAAAGAAGTAGAAATGCGTTTTTTCTTGCGGGCATAATCATGAGTTTTAAGATTAAAAATTTTCCTAAGACGACTAATTACACATTTTGTCTTACTAGTAACCCTACATAATCACTAACTTCTTCGCATTGCACAAACTTTTTTTTATTAATCACTTACAACGTGCAACTTATAAGTCATATGTAACAAAGAAAACAAGAAATTGGGAAACATTCAAAATTGGATGCCGCCACCTTAAATATACATTTTACCCTGTTAAACGAATTCATAGATACAAAACAACTAGAGTAATGTTATTCATACTATGATTTTATACTACATTTCTATACCACCTTAGGTGACATCTAATGTGGACATCTATATCATTTGAAAATTTTGCAAAACCCAAAGAAATGAAGGAGAAATACTCCTCGTTTAACACAATCATCATTTAATTAGCTAGTTTTTCTTAATTATTAGTTTATTAAATAATGATCTAAATTTAAAAATTTAATTAATTCAAATAATGTGGCTGTCCACATCAAATGTCATCTAAAATGTTATAAAAATATGGTATGAATAGTATTACTCAAACGGCTAAAGATAGTATAGTGGATGGTTGCTAGGAGTTGAGAGGTCATTTTCGTTTTTTACTATGGTGTCACGAACCACGATATACATGTGGTCCAATGTTTTCGTAGTTGTCCAATCAATCAATATCAATATTTCAGAGAGTAATTAAAAAATGTCGATTAAATAGTTAGTCCAACCCAAAAATGAAATAGAAAGAAAGAAAAAGGAGTTAGTCTCGGTAACTCGGTGTATAAATAGAAGCTCCAACCCTCACTGCAAATGTGTGCCTGCGTTTTGTATTTGTTGCATGTGCATGTGTGAAGCAACTTCATCTCCTTAAGTTCCATTGCTAGGTTTGGAAAATATCTTGAACGTACGTACGGTTGTGTGTGTGTGTGTGTTTTTGTTTGGGTAGAATAAATCATGTTCTAATTATTTCGCGTATGCAAGAGATTAATATTAATTTCTATGTTTCTACTCAAACTATATTATCATGTGTAAGTGTATGAGCGTGCTTAGTACTGTAAACTCTGGCAGAATTTACATATATGGATAATTAGTTCTAATTCTTTCCTTAGTGCTCAAACCAGTTTAATTAACGTACTTCCGAGGAAAATTCTTATTTAATTGAAGATAAAAATTACTGGTTATAGAAATTTAACTCTTGCACTCGGGATTTCGAGTTTGATTCAATACAGCTTATAAAACTAAAAACCTAGTTAATGCTTAGAGGAACAACTCAAATATACAATCCTTATTAATTTGGCCTTTGAGTTGAATAAATTAAAAGAAAATAAAAAAACAAAAATAAATATAGGTGCCAAGAAGGGAAAAAAATGGTTTGCCTGGTCTTGTTTTGTTTTGAATTTTGTTCAGGGTTAATTTTGGCTTCTTTTCCACCGCTTGGGACTATCTCAGTTTCTTATTTACATTTTTTTTTTTTGTGCCGTCGAGATTAAGGAGAAACACATATAGTACATTTCAATGTAAACTATTAAGGTCGGGATTCTTGAATTTGCAGGAAAGAAAGTAGACAAAATGGCAAGCCAATTAGCTATTCAACGCCTGAAAAATCTCCTCAGGTTTGCCTACTTATTGACTTCATCCATGATCTTTGGTCTAACCATCCACTTTATGAAAATATTAGATATTGACGTTTGACAATATAACATGTAAAAGTAAAAATTTAGAATTGATCCTATTTTAGATTCCGTCTGTGAACTCAAAACCGTGCATATTTTTGTTAAATTTAAGAACCAAATTAAATTAACGAATTTTTAGTGTAGGGACTAAATATAAACTAGGGTGAAAGTTCATGGACCAATTCCAAACTTTAACATATAAACTATATATCTAACAAGAAAAAATTTAGTCTTCAATTTGTTTTTGTTAAAGGCTACAAAAGGTTGTTGGTGGCTTAAAATATATGCATGGAACGATGAAATTAATGATAATCTTGGTTGGCATGGTTGCAGTGAGAAGGAAGAGCTGGACGATGTGGCTGCTGCCAAAATTGAGAAGTTGATGGCTGAGTTGCAAAGACCTGCTAATGGTCATTTCGACCCAGTTCAAAGGATTGTAGATGGCTTCATCAACTTCAGGGTCAACAAATTCGAGTAATTTCACTATTTTCTTTATTATTATATGAAAATAATTAATTATTGTAAATATTTGCTATATATCTAATAGATTCGAAATCATAATGTCTGCTGATCTTACAGAAAATACCCAGATTACTACAAGGAGCTTGCCAATGGACAAAGCCCCAAGGTAATATTTGGCTGTAACATCTTAATTAGAATAAATAGACCAAGAAATGTTTAATTAATCTTTTTGTTGCTAATTCCCAACGCAGTTTCTGGTATTTGCATGCTCGGACTCCCGAGTGAGCCCCTCACATATCCTTAGCTTCCAGCCTGGGGAGGCCTTCATGGCTCGCAACATTGCAAACATGGTTCCTGCATTCAATCAGGTCCACTACTCTCTACATTATATAACAGTAACGCACACCTGTATCAGAAACTGTATGAGCAAGTGTGTCAGTTTCGCGTTCAAAATAATATTGAACTTTGAGAAAATAATTTCTCATAAATCACATAATAGTCATGCTTCCGACTACGAAAATAAATTTTTTTTTTATATCTTTACAGCTGAAATACGCAGGAGTTGGAGCAGTTATAGAATATGCTATTACACAACTCCAGGTAAACATTCCAAAAGTCTTTTAATTTATTGAATTAATAACTCCTAGTCCTTTTCTCTTCACTTGTTACTAAAATAGTGTGAATTGAATGCTAACAAGAAGGAAATTGAACAGGTGACAAATATTTTGGTAATTGGACACAGTCGTTGTGGTGGGATACAGAGGCTTATGAGTCACCCTGAGGATAACTCTGTTCCCTTGTAAGGCTTTTTACACACAAAAGTTGTAGATAATGGAAGATGATTAATCATAATCGTTTACGAGGATGCAATATAAGACCTGTTAATTTGGATATTTGTTAGCATTTTTAGGATGGTCAAAGAGTATATAGCAAAAAGCCCAGCCTAATCATTTTTTTAGCAATGAACTGAGATCATTAGAACTTGCTAATGGTATATAGTTTTGCATCCTTAACCATTTGACTGGAATATGCAGTGACTTCATAGATGAATGGGTCAAAATTGGTTTACCCGCCAAGGCTAAGGTTATAGCAAATGGACAAGGTGGCACCACTTTTGAGGAACAATGTGAGGATTGTGCGAGGGTAAGATATTAATTCGATCTTGGATTGTTGAAATATTTGGAAGGCCATTTACGCTCGATTCACTTTTTGCAAATGCAATAATTTTTAGTGACCAGCTGAGGTGTGTGCGTGCGCTTCCATGAGTTATGACATTAATCTCACTTAAACACCTTCTTGAATGATAATTTTTACGCAGGAAGCAGTAAATTTGTCGCTGACAAACCTACAAACTTACCCTTACGTTCAAAAGGCGCTCGCGGAGAAAAACCTAGCGCTCAGGGGTGGTTACTATGACTTTGTTCATGGGGTCTTGGAGCTATGGGACGTTGAGTCGCACATTTCACCTCCCATCATCGTACCAGCACCTTAACTGTATTTACCTTGTTGCGTGCTCGTTTGCTTGGAGTCCAAGTATTATAAATAAACCAGATGACCACCTGGTGGCACTTCTTTAATTTTATTGTGTATGTTGGGTTTCTACCACGACGAAAACATAACGTTGCTGTTTTGTTAAGTTGTGCTGTGCACTCTATGTGCCTTTAAAGCAAATATGGTAATAAATTGCAGCAATTGTGTTGCTGCCTATTTTATGTTGCTTTTTGTTGCCCTCTACATGATTTGTTTATTTCTGTTGGTGCAAAAATGGGATATAGAGTGTTTCTTTCGGTTTAAGTGTTAAGAGAAGGCTTGAGAGAGAGAGAGAGAGAATGATTGCAGGCGTGCCATTGTTGGAGGCTGCTAACAAATAGTATGTATAGTGATTTTGTAGGGTTACGCGAGATCTAAATTTCTAGTCATTCCATAATTGAAAGAGAATGGGGAGTAGATGCATAATTTGCTATTGGAATAATATATGAATTGGTTAAGTTATGGAGTAAAAGTGTTTTGTTCAAGTGCTTTAGTTAGGTTATGGAGAAACCTTTGTATGGGAAAAGTTCTTTGTCGTTATGATTTCGTTCTAGTGATATAAAATTTTAAATCCATGGTCTTCAAATTCTGAAGCACGTGAAAGTGAGAATTTAATGGTTGCAGTAGTTCCCCAGTAATTTAGGGTTCGTCCGGTAACGTTTTACAAAACGAATTTTGAAAATGTTTTGTAAAACGAAAACGGCAAATAGGATTATGCATTTTTATGATTGAAAGTGCGTCTGGTAGTTTAACCCTAGAATGACTTTTGAGAATGAAAACATTGGAAACGTATTATAATTTCATGTTTGGTAGTAATGTTTTCCAAATATTATTAAGATGGTGGCGGTGGTGGTAGAGATGGTGAATGTGACGAGAGTGGTGTTGGTAGTAATGGTGGTAGGTGGTGGCGGTGTGACAACGGATAGTTGATGGTCAGCAGTGTGACTCTGGATAAAATGGTGGTGGCAGCAAAGATGTTATATGTAGAGGCATAACTTTATCCTTAATCATAATCCATTGCACGATACTTTAAAAACAACAAAATGTATTCTTTTAGTTGTATTTTTTTCGGCTGCTCTGTATGCATCATACAAGTAGTGGGTGAGACTGAATACGTAGTGAACAAAGCAATTCCAATGCATTAGTTGGAACATAAAATTCTATTGATTTGTATTCAGAAATTCATTCAACACAAGAAATTCTACGAATTCAACGCTAATACAACAACATTGGGATTCATTAATGGATAAATACCAACCTCTACTCGGCATCAAAAGCTCTGATATCTGTGTTGAACCCCATCAAGGAAATGCAGTGAGCGTGGCCTCAAAAACGAAACCCCGGGAAAGCCCATCGCCGCTGCCAGGCACCCCATCAATCCACCGCCACTCAGCTTTCTCAGAACAACGGTCCCACAAAGCCAATCTCCCAATTCTCTTTGCCGAAAAACAGACCCTATCGCCGCCACCAAACACCTTGAACTTGCTCGACTCTTGAAAGCACTTGAACATCTCCACCGGCATTCGGCCCGCCTCGTCCCATTCCAAGCTATCCAAGTCCAGCCTCAGAATCAGAATCGTCGAACACGAAGCGTTCAGCGAGAAAGACGACTTCAACCCACCAACCATCAGCACCTTGTTCCCATTTCCGCGAACTAAACGGGGTCTTTTCAGGATGTCGAAGACGTCCCCCCACTCGTGCTTTTCGAGCCGAGTCCAAGTCTGCGAGGTCTTGAGCTTCGAAATTGTGCAGTGGAACAGCTTCCATTCACTCCTCCACGGCGAACCCACATCGCAGAGGGCATAAACCGAGTCGAACACCAAGATTGGGCTTCTGGGTTTTGACGGGAGGTTCGATGAGAACTTGAGCCACTGGTTAGAACCGGAGAAGTAGAGCGCGGCGAGCTCGGTGAGGACCATGACTCGAGTTTGGGAGTCAACGAGGACCGAGCCGTGGCGCGACCAGGCCGAGCCGAGCTGAGGGAGGACCCGGAACTGACGAGTCAGAGGGTTGCAGACGACGAGGGACTTGGTTGACTCGGGCGGGTCGGGCGAGTCGCCCCAGAGGTAGACGAGGCCGAGAGAGGAGGCGACGGGGTGTGGTGAGCGGAAGGGGAGGAAATCGAGGGCGAATCTGAGCCATTGGTTGAGGTCGGGGTCGAAGACGTGGAGGCAGGATGAGGAGGACACGTGGCGCTGGTGGTGGTGGTGGGGAGGGCGGAGGGCGAGGAGGTTGAGGGGCGGAGATTGGTTGGAGATGATGTGGACAAAGGAGGGTGAGGTGAGGAGTTGGTTGAAGAACTTGGAGAGTGAGCGGCAGATCATGATCTGCCGGAGGGGAAGGCTCGAGAAGATCTGGTGGAGCGTGTCCTGCGGGAGAGCGTCCATGGTTTCCGCGGTGGGCCGGCGGAGTACTGTAACCAGAAGAAATGCACAGATTGAAGAGTGAAAACAGAGAGACGCAGTTGATTCAAAGGATGGACTGGGCCTGCGTGGGAGACAGACGCACGTATTGGTTGTCGTAATAAGAGACTTGCTAGTGTTTGGTGCTTCAGCAAACACGGTGAACTGTCAATTTAGTACTTAAATTATTATCTGAATGAAAATTAGTTTTTTAAATTATTTTTTTAGAATAATTAGTTCCTTAATTATAAAAATATGTTAATTACATCTCTAATATTAGATTCGAAGTTACTATTTTTAATTTTTCATCAATTTAAGTCACGTTACTTGCCTATGATACATATTGAAATGTGGATTGGTAATTTTTTATCAAGAAATAGTGTATGAAGTTTGTAGTATCCCACATCGCCCGTGAGGGCGTGGTCTTTGGGCCTTATATATCCATTGCCTGCATGTACCTTTCAGTGAGGCCTTTTGGAGCTGCGGCTTGCAAAGACAAAACCGTGCGGTAGCCCTCTGCTGCGACCTAGTCCAGAGGGGGAATGCCAAAGCGGACAATATCACTGCGAGGGAGGGCAGGGATGTGACAATTTGGTATCAGAGCCAGACTCACGGTCGTGGTGTGCCGACGAGGACGTCGGACTCCCTAAGGGGGGTGGATTGTAGTATCCCACATCGCCCGTGAGGGCGTGGTCTTTGGGCCTTATATATCCATTGCCTGCATGTACCTTTCAGTGAGGCCTTTTGGAGCTGCGGCTTGCAAAGACAAAACCGTGCGGTAGCCCTCTGCTGCGACCTAGTCCAGAGGGGGAATGCCAAAGCGGACAATATCACTGCGAGGGAGGGCAGGGATGTGACAAAGTTAATTTTGGAGATTAAACTAGACATTAGATTTGCAACCTATATAAAATGTTAAGGGTTTATAGGTGTAATAAGGATGATAATACATTCTAAGGTGTGTCAAGTGACTTAAATTGACGAATTTGATAAAATAGCTTTGAATTTAATAGTAGGGATGAAATTAGCAATTTTTAATGAATTTAGGAACTTACTTTACCCAAAAAAATAATTCAGAGCCTAATTTCCACTAAGATGATACTTCAAGAACTAAATTGACACTTCACTCGACACAAAAATAACAAACATGTTATTCTTACCACGTAGTTGTACCATCATTTGTACTATTTCTCTAAATAGAGAATGGGACTATATGCGTTGGCGGATTTTATTTCTATTAGATAGATAATACAAATAATGGTACAACTAAGTGGTATGTGTAGTGTTACTCCAAAAATAATTAAATAAATAAAAGAAACTGATTTTCAAGCATTATTTTTAATCACTTGCACACATCTTAAATTTGTTTGATTTATTCGATCTAATGGTCTGGTGTGAAAATTACTTTCCTAGATAAACACTCGGCAACAGGTGAATTGTCATGATGAAAAAGGCTTTCGTTCTTCAAATCATTATGTTTTACGTTCGAACTTTATATTTTGAGAAGGCAAAGGATTAATTACATAGCACCTAGGGCAACCTGTACAAAAATTATCAAAATATAAGGCATTTCTCACACCAATCTAAACACTATTGAACCAAATACTTTCAGAAGGGAGGGAGTTGCTAAAATTAGCTAAAGCATCCACTACAAAATTAGAGGTTCGAACTTGCATATTTTAATTAGTAAAGTTTGGAGCAGTAGTAGACATTTAGTAATATGGTCTAATAGCATTCTTTTTCACTTATAATTAATAAGTCTTAGGTTCAAATCTTGGAAACGAAGAGTTCGCAACCAATTTATACTCGCACCGCCATAATGTAAATATATCGTTGTATCAAATAAAAAAGTTTAGAGTAATAATATTTGAGTTAAATTGTAGCATTAGTCAGTTTGATTTTCGTTCCTGAACTCTAATAATAGTTGCTAATGTTCTCGATTTATGTCATGTATTGCACTTATGATATTTCTGTTGACTGTAAGTTGAGGTATAAAGTAAGAATTTTATCAAAACAAATGAGAAAATTTTTAAATAAGAATTGTTTTTCATATGGAAAAAAAAAAAAAAAAAAAGTCAATTCAACTATAAACAATAAGACTTTATGTATATATAAAAAATAAAAAATAAAAAAATAAAAAAAAGGCATCTATATAGTTCAACAAAAAAGCTTAAGGTCAATACATAAAAAGCCCAAACCCATTTTTCAAAATTTTCATTAATTTAAAAAATACCTTTACTTAATCAAAACTAACAGCATAAACATGATGTTTGAAAAATTAAATTATATTAGATAAAGAAACAAATTTTTAATTAAAAAAAATGTAAAGAATTTAGGAGGGCATGTGTAAAAATTTTAATCATATTAGATTTTTGATTTTGTCTCATTTTTTTTATGAAAAAAAATGTGTATGCAGAATGTGTCTGCAAAAATACCAAACAAAACCAACTTGTCTCATTTTAAATAATTTTTAGAATCGTATTTTATTTAAGGGTAAATCTTAGTTTACTACCATCAAGTTTCGTGGTTTTCAACATTTGGTACATAAAGTTTTTTTCGTCCCAGAGTCATACTTAAAGTGTTAATTTTCGGACAATCTCATACATCTGTTTGGCTGTTAAGTCCCCCGTTAACAAATGGTGTGGGGCGCCATATGGACAATGACTAGGTGCTATGTGCCATTAAAGGGTCAATGTGGAAATTCAAAATTCAAAAAAAAAAAAAAAAACCCACCCATCTTCTACATGCCCCCAACCCTCTCCCTCCCTTCTTTCCTCTACAACCCGTACCCTCCCTTCTCCCTTCTCTCCTTTACAACCCTCATCTCACCGCCGCAGTGGTGGTGACCAATTTGCAGAACAAGTCGAAAATGTGCTTTATGGCGATCCAGCTCCGCCTCCCCTCCAGCCGCCCACAGGGGATTCTAAACATTGGGCTCGGCCTCCTAGATAGCACAATGCGGAGCATGCCTGCTCTACATCGAGCTCAACTCCTCCACCATCGGGTACTAGGATCTGATGGAGGGAAAAACCAACAACCACCAAAAATCGGACATGGCTGCTTCTTCGAGTTCATCTGCAGGTATTGTACTTCTCTATACATTGGTTTATGAGCTATGATTTGTGTTTTGATCACAGTAATTCATATTACTTGTTCTTGGTTTTATGTTTATGCTAATATTAATGAGCTCTTTTTTGGAACATGCACTCCTGGTTAGTTTGACAGTATGCCTACATCAACTTTGTCTTTAGGGATTATACATCTGTATCTTGTGTTACCAAGTGCTTTGGTTCTTTACTAGCTGAATATGCCTACAAAGACATTTATTGGGCAATCGTGTTGTGTGCATGCGTAAAGATTGCCTGCTCTACTGGGCATTGATTTGGGGCACAATGATCAAGGAAACAACACTCTTTGGCTTTCTGATTTGGACGCAACTAAATTTCTAAAATCTCAACAATATTCGCAAATTCGTAGGAAATAATCATTTTGTGTTGTCTGCACTAAAATAGCATCTCTTAGAAAAATTGGAATCACGGACTGTAAAATTATCTATAAACTGGACATCCAGATCTTTCCAAGCATATAAGGCTCAATATTTGGTTCATCTCGAGGAATTACAGTTTAATTATTCAAACTTCACTGATCTGCACAACAAATCTTTGATTTGGTAATGTCTGCACTAAAATGGTAATAACATCTCCTAGAAAAATCGGAATCATGAACCGTAAAATTCTCCGTAAACTAGACATCTAGATCTTTCCAAATGTATAAGGCTCAATATTTGGTTTGTCTCAAGGAATTACAATTTAATATTCTAACTTTAATGACCTACACAACAAATGTTTGATTTTGGGGTTTTATTTTTCAAATAGGAGTAAAGTCAAATTTACATATTAAATTGAGTTCATGAGGGTATTTTAGTTTGTAAATTTGGATTTAAAAAAATATTGAGTCTTGAATTAAAATTAGTATGGGTGTAGAGAGTAAGTTGGATGTAGTTAGAGATTGTATGAGTTCAAATAAAATTTTCCTAAAATAAAACCAAGTATATAATTAAGTGTATGTAACATATTTAGGCAAGTTTCAGATTGAACCAAAATATTCAAATACATTCTTTTTTTTCAATATTTTTGAATATTTAAATTTACACACCCCAACTTGGAATGTCCATCTGGACTCTAAATTGAGCTATGCTGGCCAATATCCGGAAGGTGACGAAGCTATAAAGTGTAACATCTCACATCGCCCAGGGGAGTGGATCCTGTAAGCTTTATATGTATATTCCCATCAGCACGAGACCTTTTGGGAGCTCACTGGCTTCGGGTTCCATGGGAACTCCGAAGTTAAGCGAGTAGCGTGCGAGAGCACTCCCATGATGGGTGACCCTACTGGGAAGTTCTCGTGTGAGTTCCCAGAACAAAATTGTGAGGGCGTGGTCGAGGCCTAAAGCGTACAATATCATGCTATGGTGGAGTCGAGCCCTGGATGTGGTGGGGGCCCGGGGCACGATATGATATAAAGTGTGGTGAGGTGGAAAATATGAATGAATTTAAGCTTAAAAGTGCCTAAATGCAAGAGTGCGCATGTGAGCAGGAATGAACTCATTTCACACGTGATGTCAGAGTATAAGTAAAATATAGTAAAGGTAGAATGAGATTTATACCATCGAAGGTAATCACCTATACCAAGATTTGTCAAGAATTCTCGTCGACACGAAAGCTCAGCTACTAAAACCTGAAAGGGCGAAAAACAAGGGCGAGTAAGCCTCAAAATAAAGCTTTGTAAAACCTTTTCGAAAATGTAATAACCTCTCGCCGTAAAATAAGTATAGTTTCCAAATATAACATACTATGTATAGTACGAAAATACTGATCGTAAACCGTAATATCCTGAGAATGCACTACTTCACAATATTTGGTAAATAAACACATCACATCGAGTGCTCATCGACGTATGCTGACACACAAGTTCATGTAGAGGTATTTTGACACGAATATGATTGGGTGTAATAATGATTTACGGTCTAGTACTACAATCACTTGTAATAATGATTTACTATATTTCACACAAGTTCATGTCATCGGGTCGAACCTGCCTCGCGGGCATTGAAGATCCTTGTGATGCGTTTCACCTAGAAACGAAACCATTTACGTAAAAATATAACGAACTAATGTAAATTCGCGTATTCATACATAGTACGGCTAATAAAAGAACTATTTTAAAACGATCAAATTTCGAAAAACGGAGGACGGATTCGAATTCTACACGTTGAGAAACCTTAGGCGGGACCTTTGATTCCTCCATGTGTTGCATAGACATCCACGTGTCACACAAGGTGGATGCATAGGTAGCCACGTGTTGCCACAAGGTGGATGCATAGGTAGCCACGCGCCGCACGCGCCGACCATCCTTATACATCCACGTGCCCCAACCACCCTCATGCATCCACATGCCCCCAAGTACGCTTGTACTTGCCTTCCTTGTGAGTTCCTGCAGTTTTGCAAGTTTTTTCTCCGACTTTCAGAGCTCATTTTGAGCTCGATTCTCAACTGAATTCAATGGTTCAAAAGCCAAAATGCAAGGAACAGGTCTATACCAAAATCAAGGATTGACAAAGGCCGGAGATGGCAGGAAAAAGCGTTTACAAGTGGCTTAATGGCCACGGTTTTCCTCACCAATTTTTTGGGAAATCTTCCCTGGTTGAAACTGCACTAGACATCATCAAATTGCATAAATAATCCATAAATCAAACTAATATAACCATAAAGAACAAATTAGAGAGTTCTTATCTTCACCTTAGTCGAAAAAATTGAAAACCTCGCCAAAGAACATAGTGAACAATGCAGCGACCACTAGCAGTGCATGTTCATGGCTGGGTTGAGTTGGCAGTATGAGATCCTAGTTTCTGGACTGGAAAACTCGTAAATCTTATCAGGGTAACAAGATTAGCAGCGATGATGGTGTTGCCATTGCACCCATTCGGTGTTTGCCGAGAGAAAAAAAATGGAGAGTGAGAGATGAGAGATTTTTAGAGAGAGAGTGGGTGGTAGTAAGGAGACATGGATCCTCTTTGGATCCAATTGTCCTAATCCTAGGGATCAATGAATCTGGATCATTAAAATTTAATTCAACGGCTACAAACAGGAACTCATTCTAAAAGTTATAATAATTTTAACTATTAGATCAAATTTCAATGATCCAGATTTATTGATTTCTAAGATTAGGACAATTGAATCCGAAGAGGATCCATGTCTGTAGTAAGGTGGCAGAAGAAGAGATGGAGTGACAAGGGAAAAAGAGAGATTGAAACGAGAGAGAGACCAAGAATTGTGGCGAAGATGGGACATGGGGACAAGGAAGAAGTGGGGTGGGTCCCACAAGACACAAAATTCCACCAGAAAAATATAAAATAATAAGGAAAAAAAATCCAGAATAGTGCATTTGCTAAAATGTCTTCTGATTTCTTAATTTCGTAAAATCTTTATTGTAATTTTAAATTCCGTTCTACTTGTGCATACACATTCGTAGTAACGAGTACTACACGAATATAGTAAAATAATAATTTATACGCGTCACGAAATGACGGTCAACAAAAGTCAACAATCTAACCTCTAAGAGCATTTTGACCAATTCACACATTTAAAATTAATAAAATCGTAAAATTAAGAACGGATTGTTACATTGTATTCCTGTCTTATCCAATTTTTTTTAATTTTTCAGATTTCAAAACTTCGTGGATTCATATTTAAATTCGATAGAATATTTGATAACTTTTTGGTTCGAATAGAATTTTCCCATGCAAGTTCCACCCTTTATTACGCCCTAGGTGTTTTCGTTTGTAATCTCTTTCCCGTACCAAATAAAGTTTTTTTTATTAACATTTTCTTAAACAAAACACTTGCCTCACACTCTCGTTACATGAAAATAGATATGTGTAATGCTTCTAGTAACCAGATATGTTAATTAAGGTAAAAAAAACAAAAACAAAAACATGATAATACTAAACAAAATGCAAGTCCAGTTAATCGAACAAATAAAAATACAATTGTGCACACTAGTTCGTCAGCTTATCAGAATTCATCCCAGATAAGCTTATAGTTGTGGAGCTACATCATAATCATGGCATGAATTTATTTATTTATTTTTGTGATCGCATGTAAACAACAGTTCATAGCCCACATTTTTTCGACGTGACTCACACAAAATTGTTTCTAAAACGCAAAATACATTCTTCTATATCGAGCTACCATGTTGACCTACCATGCACCGCATAGAAGAAATGAGAATTAATGGACAACCCATCACCCCAATGTTTACGTTACTCAAGCTGACATTCTCGCTTCTGCTTCTTTCATAACATATTGCCCCACAACTTTAATCTATCCACTCCTCATCATTCAATATATTGAAAAAACAAAAAAAACAAAATGGTTTTGTAAGATGATTATTGCATCTTGACTTTGCTTTGAGAATGAATTTGTGGTCTCTTAGTTTTATTATGAGAATGTTGATTCTTGCATCCTAAATTTAGGTTGTATTCTCTTGTTGATTTTAAAAATAAAAAATTATGTACTAATGTTGGCCTTAAATATGATTGATCATTGACTTGGATACCTTGTGGGTTAGTCTTCGTGGAATTTTTATCAAGTTTAAAGTTTGGCTCATGATTGTATGACGGATATGCATGGCTATGTTGATGCTCTTATGAATCATGTTCCTTTTTGTAGGTGGTTTTAAACTTCATGGAGGTATGTGTGGATGAACTTTTTAAGTTATAATGTTGGTTTGTTTTAAAGTTTGGCCAAGTACGATTGTTTAAGGTGTCAGGTTGAGACAAAGTTTGTCTGAATTGACTCTTCACTAAGTATGTTGAACTGTTTACTTGTAGTAATACTTTAGATGATCAACATTACATGAATGATCATGTGTTGTCTTTAAGTATGTATGTGCCTGGGCGATATATGTCAATGATCTCGTATGGTCTGTCCCAATTCATGTCAAATGTACTCACAATTGAGTCTTCTTTATTTGATATTTTCTTCTTCAACACCCAGTCTCATAGTTTTAAAGAGCAGACGTTGACTCTAGAATCGTAGTAGTTTAAGACGCCCTGATAAGCAACGTTCCTTAAGTCAACCTGGTCCTATGCTCTTCAAAGAGGTTTAACATGAATGTGTGGGATCGTAGCACAATGTTGGCACTTCTCACAAGTGCATAATAATAATTATTATTATTTTTTTTTGTGTAACTTCGTGGAGAGTTGAACAGTAGTATCCTTATTGGAACAAAACCTTTTGCAAATCTTTTTCGGAACAAACTCTCCTTCTAATGGGGCGATGCATACCCCGTTTGTAGTAATGATTGGTTAGCAGGTAGATAAAGATTTGTCCGAAGTCGTTTGGCTTGGCGTTTTGTTAGCCAAAAGAATGTCGAAGCAATGAAGTTGTAGAGTTGAGTGATTTAGCCACCAATATATTCGAAATTACAAACTTCCGTAGTTTTGGTACATGGTTGAGATGTCACACATTTAGTAATATTAAATAAAAGTTTGTAAGTTTAAGTGTTATAATATGAGTGGACGATATAGTTGAGATGTTAATCTTTT